AACTAAGCTCCTCCGGGATATCTCCGTCCATCTCTGCGACGAAGCGGTGGATTTCTCCACGCTTCACCGCCGACTCGATGGACTTCGTCGTGTTGCCTGCGCTCGCTTCGGCCGCCACTCGTGAGATCTCGGTCTTTCGGGCTCAGCATCTGTTTGAATCATGGTACCACGGGACACTGGGCACAAATATAGTCTTGGTCTATATAATAACGTACAGGGCCTAGGGTGCTTTATGGGGGGTGCCCGATTGGCTGCGGAAGAAGCCCTGATGCTGCAGAAGCCCTTGCAACCCTCTAAACCCTAAACCCCCTGAGCCCTAAACCCTAAACCCCCTAAGCCCTAAACTCAGCCCCACGCCCACAGCCCTGAAAGCCAGCAAATCCCAAACCCTTAAACCCTGAAGCCCTAAATATAACGGAAAAGACCTACCGCTTTAAGGAACTATGTCTTGAAATCATAATAAGGAACCCTAAAAAGGTAGGTTCTTTAGGGTCCAGGTACATCCTACAAGCATACCCTGAGCCCTGGGCTTCCTCTTCCCACATGCTTCTATTGCTAAATTTTGCGGGACCCTAAGCCCTACCCGAACCCATCAGAACCTGGTAACCTACCTTTTTTCTAGGGATCCCATACTAGCGTTTCTATGGGTTTTTTTTCTGAGAGCCTACCCAAAAAAGCAGGTGGGGTTGTGGTAGGTTAAGGTACACTCTGGGCTTCCTTTTTCCCCATTCCCCAGTTGGGACCCTAAACCCTATACCCTAACCCCATAAGCCCTAAACCCTAAACATCTCTAAACCCTAAAGGATCCTCAACCCTAAGCCGTGCCAGGCCTTTCACGCCGCAAAGGCTCTTCGAGGCTCCAGGCGCCTCCGGGGCAAAGCGCTCCACGGCACCAGGGGTCCAGGTAACTCCTGCGCGCCAACAGGAGGCTTAGGGCTTTGTGGTCTTTAGGGGTTTAGAGCTTAGGGCTCATGGGGTTTGGGGGGTTTAGGGCTTATGGGGTTTATGGGGTTGTGGGGTTTAGGGCTTATAGGCTTTAGGGGTTTTGGGGCTTATGGGGTTATGGGGTGTAGGGGGTTTAGGGCTTATGGTGTTTAGGGCTCTCCTTTGCGGCAAGAACTTCGGGTGTAGCGTTCTCCTCTGTACCGAGGGTTTTCGCCGAAGGGTTTAAAGGCTTATAGGGGTGCTGGATTTATAGGGCTTCAGTGTTTAGGGTTTAGTAGCCGAGGCCATCTGGCACGAAGACAGCCATTTCTTGCGATCAGGCAGGAGGCGATAGAGCTTTTTTTTAAGGTTATTAGCCTTTTCAGGGCTCTGCTACGAGTCTACAGGGGCTTAAGACACCAACGCAACTCGATGGAGGGTGCATCCAACATATGTCCGCGACCTCACCAAAATCTCTGGAGATCCTTTGAACAGAAACTCGAGCCCGCGTGGAAAGACGCTTCCCGGGTCGTCACTTGCATCAAGCCTGGCGTGCGCTGGATTTCTGCAATCATGGCTGCCCGATCGGGATGCACCTGGCTTAGGGTCTAGGCCGGGTTCTTTCGGGTTCAGGATGTACCAAAATACTAAATGATATCGGGGCATAAAGTAGCCGACGATTCCCCCAAAGTGTATGCGGACGGCATTGCTCAGGATGCAGGATGCTCGTGAAGTAGTTTGACGCAGCTTTCACTTTGGGTGGGTCGCGCTTATGCTGCAAGGTTCTCCGGCCTCCAAAGATGCAACGCCCAAGAGGCCAAATCCAAGGTGCAGAGCTCGATACATGACCTCAGGTCAATTCGCAGAGTGTCCCCTGGCCGTCTCTTGCTTGACCATTTTCGGGGAGAGTCGACCCTATCAACGATATGGAGCCGTGTGATGGGTGTGTGTGCATGTTTCAGAGGGGCACGGCACGAAGGTGTCGACATCCTGCGCTGAGGGCATCGCGACTGTCAAGGCGGCAGTCCGGAGTGCTATCTTCTAGCTAGAGCCTGAAATTTGCTGATTCTCGCAACGCTGGCATGCAGCGTCCAGTATCGAATGTGCTGCTCGCACTGTACTGATAGCCTGTTGCACAAGGACCCGTGCTTGCCATCCTCCACTGCGTGGGCGATCCTTGCGAGTGCATGAGGGCAGCGAAATGAACACTCAACGTGGATTTTCTGCGTCATCAAGTGCGGCTACGAAGAATCCGCCGTTCGCGTGCTTGGAACTGTGCTGAACTGCGCGTGCTGGCGAGCACCCACCCAGCATATACAGCAAGCAGGGCGGATCACTGCTGTGCGACGTTTTTGCGAAAAAGGTACCCGAGAGGCAGTTGCTAAAGCAACGTTCGACGGCCAGAGCAAAGCCAAAATCACGCCTCATGCACTTAGTGGCACAAATGTTTCAGTGTGGTGCTAGCAGCTGGTTTCCGAACCCGCCTACTAAGGCTTACACGTATGCAAAATTCTAGCAGACACAATCAGAGCACCGGAACATGAGAAAAGACCACCATCCTTTGCTAGGGCAAAATCTGTAGTAGTCAAGTCTGTTGAGTTTGCAGCGTCCTTTGCGGGCATTCGCCGTCTTCACCTGCCATGACGCATCGGACCAGGCTCACCCTGCGCACACGGTCTGTCCCTTCATGCCCCGCCTCGGTCCTTTTGAAGACCTGGGGGTTGCGAACAAGCCTGGGCTTGAGAGAACGCACATCGCAGCATCTAACTGCACAAGCAAGCCCATCAAACTCCTGTAGTTATACTATAGCTATCCTATAGCTATACTCTAGCTATACGATAGCTATACTATAGTCATACTATAGACATACTATAGATATACTATAGTTTAATCAATATTTTTTAAGCAGAAAACGTGTCGCCACACTTTTCGGGCGTCGTCGCTCTTGCAAAACCCAAGTCCCTGGCGTCACATCGCGTGGCAAGCGCGCTTCTGGTGTTGACTTCGTCTCCTCTCTGTGTATGACTTTTCCCGGTTTCGGGTTTCGGGCTTACTATAGGAGCCGTAATAAATTGCAGTAGAATAGGGTTTGGGGTATATTATGCTATATAATCATAATAAGGGGCCCCCGAAATAGTGTTGGTCATTATTTATGTCTAAAGAATCCTACCAGCTGTTTAGGATTCGACGGGTCACGATTAGGGCATCCGGTTCCGTGTGATGAATCTTCGCAGCCGATAGTTTGTTGATCTGATCGTGCCAACATCACCCTTGTCTTACCTGCCTCTGCGGCGGGTTTTTGAGGGATGTTCTTAAATGTAGGTACAGGTCTCAGCTTGGGACCCCTCGATACCTGCAAGCCTCTCACGGATGAGAGAGGAGTGGGCAACTCCTCCGAACTCTGCCTCGTCGTTAGGAGCACATTTGGGCTGCCTGCAGGGCACACAGACTGGCATCTTTTCCTCCTCGCCAAGCCCAATTTTAGGGTTCAGCGTGAAGAGATTAGGATTTCATGGCCGCAGAATATGGGGGGTAAGGGAAGGCAAGGGCCACGGGTTGCTCCATCCTGCCTAGCAAGGACAAAGCCCGCATTGCAGGGTATCTCTCCGAGTCATAAGCAGGGCTCTGTACACCTGAACTCCCCGTGTGCCTTGGCGTCGCCAAAAGAATGGTGGCGAGGCCTGTACCAACTGCGGGTCAACAACGGCATCATGACTGTGTTTATGACTGTGATGATTATCAACCAGTACTTCGACCCGCCGGGCAAGCAGAATAGCCCTCTGCCTGTGCCAAGGCCGCATTCGGATTGTGGGCACCTGACCATGCCGGATCTCTGCAAACAAATCTGCAGCCATCCCATGGAACGGCTCTTGTCAGTGAAGGTTCTCTGGGCCCAAGTCTTTGAAGCCACGAACCCGCGAGTGCGAATTGGTACCTCCAGCGCCTCCACCTCTAGAATCTAGAAGAGATACAGGTACTGCATCTGCAAGCCATCCCTTCAACAATACTATTAAGGCCTGGACCATTCGATTCTACTTCCTGCAGACACATTGGACATGAGGTGGATGAATCTGCAGAAGCTCCCGCGTGCTGCAACTTGCTCCCTTTCAGTCCTCTGTCCGGCCTGCAGGTGCCTCGGAGCATCCTCTGTCATTGCAAGGCTAGAGGCGGCTAGACTTATGATGATCCTTAGCCGCAGGCTGCCACTCCAAAACCGATTTGTTGAGTCACGCTGTCCTAAACCCTCAGCCCTTTTTTTTCACAAGGGACTCGACTGCTGTCCTTACTGCCCAGCTTAAACCCTCAGCCCTAAATCACTAATTACACCCTCAGTCACGGTCCTAAACCCTCAGCCCAAACCTCAGCCCTAAAGCACTAATTACACCCGAAAAGCCAGAACCTAAACCCTGGCCAGTCCCAGGGTCGGCGTCCTTCGTCTCCGCCTTCCCCAGCTTCCCGCGCTTTCGTTGGGGAGCCTTAGCATTTCTGAGGCATCGGCTTCATGGGCCCTTATATAGTACCCTAAATAGTAGGATCCTTATTATAAGGACCCCAAAATAAAATACCCAAGCCCTAAACCAGAAGCATCTTGCAGAGGCCAAGCTGCGTGGAGAGATGGTGAGCTGGCTGGCCGGGGTGCAGCAGTCCTTCCAAAAAAAGGGCCAGTAGTTTGCCCTTACCCATAGGCCCCTAAGTAGTTCCTTTTTATGCGTTTATATTTAGAATCCTAGAAGGTAATCCCAAACAGGAACTACTTAGGGGCCTATGGGCACGCTCAACATCCACTTTTTCCCGGATCCTCGGCGACGGGGAGAGCACGGCTGCCTCACCAAGGGCGCCAGGAACAAGGGGCCATGCAAATCATTCTTTCTCAATCACTCACTGCTGAGCAAGCCTCAGCGAGATCATGCCTGTTACACTTTTTTCTCTGTTTACGATCCGTGAGTGGATGACACGCGTCCTGCAAAGTGCAAGAAGGATGGATGCCTGCCTTTGGCAGGGATCAAAACATGAATTTGTGAGTCATCCGTGAAATCTCTTGAAACCTGAAACTGCTGAAACCAAGCGGGGGCTTGTCAGCTTTCTCCAACCCAATGTATCAAATGATCAGGATGCATGCCAAGACTTCCCAAACTGCCGGCATCCAGCTTGGGCATTTTCGGCGATGCTTTGGTTCGGGCACATGTTCTGCGCGCACATGCCACGCCCGAACCTGCATCCTCTTCTGCCCAGGCCCGACACAATTTCTGGAGGTTCAAGATGCCTTGGTCTGTTGGCACCAATGTGGATGGCACTCGCCGGTGCTCCGCATCTATCAGCTTTTGCTCCCAGTTGCCTGTAATGGTACCTGGGCCGAAGGGCTCCTCACTTCTGTGACGCAGCTCAGCCCAGCCCGTCCATGTAATGCAGAGGCAGCCAGGCTCGTCGGTGGGGGCGAAGATCCCCTCAGCTATCTCCCAGCAGCAAGAACAGTTGTAGTCGCCTGAGTCATCACAGCGGTGCGGTCTGACTACACCCTAAACCCTATGCGTATAAAACTACCAATAATTCTCAACTTCAAGTGAAACGAAACTTCTGGGACTCTGTGGAGTTGCCGCTCTTTTCCATGTAGTCGCTCTCGTAATGATATTTTGCCAGAATCCGCCCATCCGGAAGCAGAAGCACATGGCGTGTCGACTCGGTGCCTCCAAACCCTCCTCCACTGAATCTCTCCTTGTCCTCCTGCAGCGAGGTTTCTCATGTCTTGCCCATACTGGGCCGGGGGTTACTTGAGAGTGATGGTGAATCCAACATGCCGTGGCTCCTTCGCCAAGCTCAGGCAGCATGTCATGTGAGGGAAGCCAGGCGGGGCGTCCTGAATTCTTCCAGCTCTACTTCGCACTAATTAATTCTCGCATGTTCCCACTCCCACAATCACACCGCACTCGAGGTGCTGTTCCAGTGTCCTGAATAGCACCGAAGCTTGTCAGAGCCTCGATGGTGTCATCTGCGAGGCCGGCCAGCAAGCCCGCGTCCACCCGAACGAACATCAGACTGATGCTTGCTTCACCTCGAATCAGGACCATGCTCGAAAACAGGGTTAAGGCTTTTAGGTTGTGTATGGCTTTATTGGGGTACCATCCCCTTTTTGCATACTCAAGCTTAGGAGCCGTCCACGTGCAGCTCGGCAGAAAGATCCAAAGACTCCTCAGGATGTATCGTGGGAGCTACTGGCAACACAGGCTAGGTCAACTTGGCAGTTCGACAAATTGAATGGCCTCTGGCTAAGCCTCATCCCGAATGTAAGGGTACCGGTGAGAAAGACGTGTACGTTGCAATGTCTCCATCGGCCTACACTCTTTTGATGCATTCATCCCCATGACTATGGATTCAGGTGCTGCATGGGCAGCTGGTGAGTTGCACTACTAGAAACCTGGTAGAAACACTAGAACATGTAACTAATAGTAACTGTTTGGAAGCGTTCTCGCTGCCCTGACTAACGAAAACTTGATAAGCTAGAAACTGGCTGATGTCGGCGATATCGAATTTTGTGACGTCTGTTGCAGAAGTCACCTGGTCAGTGGGCGGAACTACTAGCACAAACGGTGATGCCCAAGGGCATTCCCGCGCGGAAGGAACAGTGCCAGATCCCCGAACCACCTTCCTGAAACCCTAAACCCTGACACCCTAAACCCTGAAACCCTAAACCCTGAAACCCTAACATTGATGTAGCAGGCCATGACCTTCGGGAAAAGTTTGCCCCTCCCCCAGATGAACCTGATCCCTCGTGGTTCACTCTTCTCACGGATCTGCTCCGGGCTGCTCTTATTACTCTTGAGCTGCGAAGCATCCCGAGTGTACCTGAAAGTCCCCACACCACCCCCTTAAGTACATTCTTCATGGCTGCTCATTGCTCCGGGGGTCCGTGACCGAAGACCCACAAGTAGGTTAGGGTTTTTTCCCCCCTACATTGCAAGAACGAGCCCGCATTGCAGGTAAGGTTAAGGTTTCAGCACTCACACTCGGACGAACCTAGGCGAGGGTTTAGGGTTTAGTTATCTCAGCTGGAATGTCCCATGGAAAACAACGTGCGGGAAACTCCACTGGCCGCATCAAGGGGCGAAGTGTACTTCGAATCCCCACACATCGATGCAACACCCCCCTCTAAGGACATTGGGTTCTAGGCAGGGGTGGTCCAAATACCTAAGTACTGGGTCTTTTGGCCAGGGCACGCTGTCTCGAAGAAGTTTGTCGAAGCGCGTGGTCGGCCCTGGTAGCTTTTCAATAATCCTTGGCCGACGATCATTGTCCAGTTTTTTAAGGAGCTCTGTATAATATTTATCCCTAGTTGTTGAACCCACCAAGTGCCTTTCTTGAGCGCTTACCTTTCTTATTCACTTCCAAGTGTTAGCAGGTACCGCTGAGTTGGTAGGAGCTCCTCGCCCCGTCACAAATCACCGAAACCCTGTGCACCGTTGCAGCACCTATTCTTGTCATTATTCTGATTCTGCTTCTGACTGTTGTTGATTGTTGGAAGTGTTCCTTCCTGCTGAATTGATGAAAATGGCCATGCGGCCAGTTTTGGTCCATAGGGGTCAAGAAGGACTTCAGGCCTGCACGTCCCCGGATGCCGAAAAAAGTTCAGGGCTTATGGTTAAGGGCACAGCAAGAATAAAAACCCTCATTGTCTGCCGTTGTCTTTTCAGCTGCGGACTGCTAAAATCACTACGACGACGACGACCACTACTCTGGAATATACCACTGCTAGCCACCACCAGAACCACCACGACGAATCCTGCTTCCATCCCTACAGCCTGTCCACCCCATTGTCCCCAGTATTGCAATTCAGCAAAACCCGTCTACTCCTGATCCTTGAGCTGGGAGGGGTGGGGACTATCAACAACCAACGTTGATATTACTGCTGTGATAATTGCTGCCTCTCGTCAGTGTAGTAATTAACGTTTGGTATTACAATGAAGTTCGATCCAGCCGCTGTTTTCCAGTGACTGGCTCAGGAAGTTCAATTGCTTCGAGCAACCTCGGAGCGCGAAGGGCTACAGGGCAGCATGCGCTCCACAGAAGGACTGCAGTCTTCTGAGTGTTTATAGGGCTGTTTTGCGATTTAGGAAAGATTAAAGGTTGTATGCACATGTAGGTGCCGAACCTTACAGGAAAATACATCGAATCATCGAACAGTCTTGTTCGACTTCCAATTGCTGACGCCCCTGTATGTAATGGTATGCCCAATGGTGTTTTTGGCCTGTAATTAGGTTAGTTACCTGTATATATATATATATACATTGATTTATTTGTTCATTCTTATTTATCTATTTATTTATTTATATACACACAGACAGATAGATAGATGGACAGATCGATCGACGGATGGGTGTATGCAAATAAACATACATAGCGACAGAGAGAGAGAGAGAGAGAGAGAGAGAGAGAGAGAGAGTGAGAGAGCAAGAGAGTCGTAGTGATGCATGCCTAGCCCTCAAACAGCCCTCGTTGATGCGGACAGGGCTCGTTTCTCCCGCCAGGCTTGTCACTGATATCACCACCATGGCCCGGCAGTTGATTCGTTTTTTGATTAGTGCGCTTGAGCAAGGTAACTTCACAGCCAGCATCAAGGACTCCTGGTACATGCAACGCGTGCTTGTGCCTCTTAACACTGTTTGTGAGCAGCGCACCTCGCGGCATGACTTCCACTGTGCGGCTGCTGGCGTGGCTCAAGGTGTCCTCATCTACACCTCTGGCATAGAACCAGATCAATATACGGCTTGACGACATGCTGAATTCAGCAACTCAGCACTTGTGGTATTTCCTGTGGTTTGGGTGGCCGAGAATCGTAGGGCACAGCAGGTCTTTGCGGTCGGTTACGCCGGAACAGAAAACATGAGCAGCTCCGGAATTCTTTGAATGGGGCAAACCTAAAACAGGACGGCTGTTCCGCACACCAACATAGACATTGCTCTGAAGTCTGAAACTATACTAAACTCATGACTCGAACTAGCCTGGCCTTGCTTGTCGGAAACGTCTGCCTGCAGCTCCAGAAAGGCTTTTTCGGCCAACTGGCTCCGTTATGCTGCGACCGCGTTTAGGCTTTCGGGGCTTGGGGTCTACAAGATTTAGGGATTTAGGGGTGATTCAGGCGCAAGCTGCGTTCTTTATTTGGGGCAGCGTGATCCGGGGCTTGCAGCGACCCGTGGCGCGGCAAGGCCTGTGGATCTGGTGGGTAGACGACACACCAGGTGGAGGTTTGATTCCTCTCCTGCAATGCTGCAAAGGCTGCATCTACCCGGAGAGCTCTTATCGAAACGAAAGCCGTTACATCGAACTTTTTGGGCGAATCCGTATCCCCTTCTTGCCTTCAGTGCCGGCTGCTCCCTCCACAGCCTACACGGGAGCTGACAGTCTCCGCAAGAGCAGTGACCCACTCAATGCATGCTGCTAAAACTAAAACACCGCAGGACGTGCCTGCTTTGCAGCCGCTCGGGGTTGAATTTGCAACGTGACAGAAATGAGAAAAGCAGGCATGATCCTAAAGGAAAACACTAATTCAGCGCCCGGCAAACCCTAAACCTCTGAAGTTCTGCGAAGTGCTTTCTCAAGGTTGTTCAGAGTGCCTTGTAGCGACCGCCTGGAGGTCCACCTCCGAGAAACCAGCCTGCAACGCGCGGATCCGGAAGCAGCAAAGAATCTGGGCTCCACAGAGAGGGACGGTTCCCAAGACTACACGCGTCTTGTCTAGGGCCTATGGGCCTGTGGGCTCTTATCATGAGGATCCCACTGTATATCTGGTCTTCGTTCGACTCTCACATCTGGCGGCAAAGACGAGGTGTCTGAGTACGGAGACTGATCGAGAGGCCTAGAAAGAGACTGCATGCACTGACATAGGCCAAGGGCTAGGGTTCCTGACTCTCTGACACTTAACAATAGCATCACCAGCACGGCTAGAACAACCTTGAAACAAGCATATGCCCGTAGGTCACGGTTGACCAGCCGTCCTTGTCTGTGGTTGGTGGCATCGACATGTTGGCGCTATCTGCAGTTGGCTACATTTGTTAAATCTATGCTGCTCCGAGTGGACACATGGTCTTTAACCTTCAGCTATAAGACATGTGCATGTCATGGTGCTCCGGCACTCAACGGATGCACATGGATGGGCATAGACTTAACAGAACCAGCGCCTGACTGAACCACACCACATGCTTCGTGCAAGCGCAAATTATAAAGCTTGGCCGTGCGGCACTTCTCCCACATTACCGGCAATTGCACGCAACTGAGTTTTGCACGACATGGGCCCAAAATCTTTAAAGTGGAAGTCTCCTCAGCCTCGTCACCATAACGTTTTGTGGGAAGGGTTCTCGCAGATTGGTGCCTCCAGTTTCAAGTTTATGGGGGCAAACTTGAGCTGATGTTCGATGCAGCAGTCCACGCGTGCGAGGTTTTCGTCGCATAGGGCTCGCTTCGTGATTAGCCGAGTAGGCACTGGTGGCCAAGTACAGTCGCTTCGGGCATCGAACCATTGATTGTGGTGCTGCATGCTTCGATAGTTCCCTGCTCTTTCTTAGGCCTAAACTCGCGAGTGATACCGTCCTACGTGTCTGCACATAAGATCAGAATCCTCTTCAGAACCAATCGCAACATCAACAGCAGCTGGCTAATATCTACAAGCGCAGGTGGACTTTGCCTCCTGATTGCGCTGCCTCTGCAATCGCTGATAGCCCATCTTTCATCTTCAGGCCAATCAAAACAGCACAGGCTGTCCTGCCCTCTTGCAGTGCATGCGTCGTCGACACAAGGAGGTATGATACCAATTAGTTACCAATCGAGAGCCGTCTATGATGATAAAGATGCTGACTCCTCCACGCCTCATGACCGATCGGCACAGCTCCGTGCAGGAACAGAAACGAATTAGCAGCTACAACCAGTCTCAGCTGTAACAAATCTCAATATCTTCGACAAACTGTGTTGATGCAATGCTGAACAATACAAGTTTTGCATGAATCTGCATGATACATTCGGCATAAATCATGACATGGTTTTGCAGAAGGCAGAACACAGAGCGGTTGTGGAAGAAGCCAGCAGGCCGTTACCACCTCAGAGTCCAAGCAGTTTCTAGTCTCATGCCACACAGAAGCAAGCTTCATGCGCACTTGCTGTGCTCCGAAGAAACTCGAACCGAGTCTACTGTTGTAGGCCGGTGTGTCCACCTCGTCTGAACGGATCTGCATGGAGCTGAAGGCGTGCCTGGCAACTCCAGCGAAAGCTGCCAGCACCCATGGTCATCACCCTAAACCCTAACCACTACAATCAAGGGTTTCACCATGCCATCGTTTGTATCAGGACCTCGAAGGACTGCTCTCTCCAACTGCCGTCGTGATGCAACACGATTAAGTACTTAAGTAGCATTCCTCAGGTCGGCTGGCCTCTGACAGAACACACACCTCCCAAACCATCAGTTGCAGGACTCCACCTCAGAAGCAACTTTTCTGTTGGGAAGGATAGCGGCCACAGTCTGGCCCCATGCCTACTGCGCATCCGCAGCATGCAGTGCTGCATACCGCACTTACTAACTCTTGTAGCCCCTTTTATACTACTGTTGATGATAGAAATCCTGCATTACCCATATAATAAGGAATCTACCGTAATTCCCATAGTTTAGGGTCCTTAAGGTAATGCTAAGGATTTACATCAACAGTATCATGATTCAAGACCGTAGCTGAGCCGAGCTGGGCGCTGAAGGCTCGGTGGCTCGCGTGATCGGGTGTGCCTCCTTAGCTGCTTGGCTAGGAGCACAGGCTCTTTGCACTGGTGCGCAACAACTATTTTTTGCCTCCCACCTTGCTAGGACGAGCCCGCACTGCAGGGTACAACTACTATTAGGGTTTAAATGGTTTAGGGTTTAGGGTACCAAAGAACGTGTAAACCTGTAGCAAAGGCTTCTCCGCATAAATGTGACGGCAATGCATCAACAAATGCAAAAACTGTACAACGGCTGATCGAAGCACAATGCACGGGGAAAGCATACTATCTCGCCCTCTCTGACTAGATGTACACACACACACATATATATATGTATGTATTTGTACTTGTGCATACATACGTATTTATATATGTATGTATATATATACACACATGCATGCATGCATGAATGCATGCATACATACACATACCTGCATATGTACATATACACATACCAGCTCCCTCATACGCACACAGATATAACTTCTTGTGAATAGCCAGGGCCCCAACTCTCCATGGCCACGAGCCATCGGAACTGGCGCAGATCGGCGTAACAAAAAGACAACTTCTTTGGTTACCCATGTATAGTATACAGTATATAGGTAGTATACAGTATATAGATAGTGTGCAGTATATAGATAGTATACAGTATAGATAGTATATATAGTATATAAATAGTATATATACTATATAGAGAGTATATAGATAGTATATATAGTACCAAGCATACCCGGAGTGTCCTTGACCAGAGGAGTAGCCCATGGGCCTCGGCTGGTCGAATGGTTCAGAGGTTGGCAAATCTGCAGAGCGGCACATCGCTCGGCAAGGCAACCAAGGAGGTCTGTCCACCGTTGCTGTGATACTCAGCGACAGAATGACAACACGAGCAACATGCAAGCACCTACTTGATTACATATGTATATATGTGTGTATATATATATACACACACCTATCCCTAAAGCCTAAACCCTTCGAGTTTGCGGCGAAAGGGATCGGCGATCAGACGGTGTCCTGGGATCCGCGAGTTTCAGTTGATAGCATGTAGCTGCAGCAACGCGCAGGACCCTATGAAATCTAATCTCTGCGGGCTGTAATCTTCAAAGCCAGCTGAGTCTATGACGGCGCTTGCGAACCTTGTCGAGATGGCCTTGGGGTTTGGGGAGATGCAGTGCGTTTTGGCAGGTATGTGCGCGTGGAATTGTCTGTAGATATATATATATAGATAGATAGATAGATAGATAGATAGATAGATAGATAGATAGATATGTAGATATAGCGATAATGGGTTTTGTTCACGATATTAGTAGTGGCACTATAAATACAATGCAATCACTCTACAAGAAGTGATTGGATAGGAAATGTAGGGGCTCGCGGCTAGCACGAAACAACTGAAATTCTTTAGCTTACAGTGCCTTCTATCTAACTAGGAAATGAAGGGCGCCCAATGTTGTGGTGTCAGTTCTTCTTTGGCTCGGCGGTTCGTTTCTTGACTCGGCTGTTCTCAATTCCCAAACCCCGAAAACCGCTAACATGGGACATGTGGGGGTACGTTTCTTGTATCGGATGGCTTCCCGGCCTTGAGCCTAGGGCACAGAGTGGAGCCAAAATACGGCATGTAGGGGCTGCATTTCTTATGCTGATGGTTTCCAGGCCCTAAGCCTAGGGCACAGAGCAGAAGCCAGAATAAGAAAAGTAGGGCGCCACGTTTTCTCATTTTGGTGGTTTCCAGTTCCCAGGTCCTGCGCCTACGGCACTGGGAAGAAGCCAATATAGGACATGTAAGGGGCTATGTTTTCTTCTTTAATTTCGGGTGGTTTCCAGGTCCAGTTTCCTTTTCTGCAATTCCAAAACTCGCAAGTTGTCATTGCATAGCTAAGTTCTACAGGTTGCACGGTTTGGACTCTCACACTCGCACCAAGCAGGCAAGGCTAGGGTTTAGGGTGTATACACCAAAGTGTAGTTGAGCACTGTCCTGGTGGTGTTTAGCCTGATGGAAAACAGCCTGTGGCTTGGTACCTAGACTTGCATGGGCTCGAGCCCGGCGAAGACATGAAGGGTGCCCAGCGATTTGGGAGCTGGGACGTGTGGAAATGCGCAGCTAAAAGGAATTAAAGAAATGAAGGGCACCCAATGCTGGGAGTTAGCTTTCATATCCAGCAGATTCAGCAGATGCGATGCACTGTAGTGACTGTAATTGTATCGCAATAGAAACTGGCGTAGTGCAGCAAAGTATAGTACGAGTATTCCGTTCTGGGAAACCACCAAAATACACTCATTGATGCATCCTGAGACTTTCCCTGCACCGATAGTAGACATCCGAAGCCCCGAAAGTGCAGTTTCTAGGATGAGGGTGTCCGCACCCAACTGTGCACGTCGTTCTGGGATCTGTCAAGAAGGGTCAAGAAGCGTTTAGCCGTCTGTCCGACTGGAACAGGGCAAGAGCTTTCAATGGCCAACTCGCATTTACTTCGAAGAACATGTATGGCATGATGTAATACTTATGATATGATAAAGCCGAGAAAGATAATACACAGAATGATACTGACACCGAATACAAGATAGAAGACTAAATCATAACAGAACAGAATACAAGAACATATAAAACATGTAATATAGGTTCTTCTTTACTATCACATTATCTAATACAACATAACCTAACAGATCAGAACAAATATATTGTATACAATGAAATCTATTGGAATGGAGTAGAATGTAATGTAAAGTAGTATGGCGGAAATCGGAATATGAGAGAATTCAATACCATGTCATATCATATCATCTAATACAGTATAATACAATTCAAAACAATGAATATATATATATATATGTAGATATATAATACAACATAGTTTAATGATATAAGAGAAAAGAATAGATTAGAATAGAATAGAATATGACATGGTGTTCAATTCGCAAAGTGGTGTGGGCCTGTCATCCTCGTGGCTGTGGTGATGGCGTCCCTGCTTGTAAACCGATCGTCTCGTAGGTGCGCGGGAAGCGTGGCTTGCTTTTGTTGCTCTACTTAGCGTTCGGTTATGCCACGCCAGCTGCACTCGCGGAGCTTCGTGGACGGCTGTCGCGAGCCAATCAGGTGTGCCAGCCAGTCAGCCCCAAACAAAGGAAAACGAAGACTGAACCTCTGCTGAGCCTTGCGAGTCTGCAGAGCAAAATCTGTCAGAGTAACGGGGGAAGCCAAGCATCAACAAGAAGGTCGCCATGTCTGAGGCAACTGAGAGCTGTGCACCCATTGTCGGTTTGGCGGCGGCATCTGCAGTGTGCGGAAGGCACTTTTGGCAATTTGGGGCTAACAGTGGGTACAGAGAGAGCGGCGCCCCGACTCCCTAAACCCTATGTAAACTTAAACCCTAAAGAGCTCTGAGTTGACTCGCTGCAGCAGGGTAGCTGAACCCGTCCGTGATCCACAGGCCCCAGTGGTAGCCAAAGGTCCTCGGCGAATATGAGGCCTTCAGAGTGAGAGTAGGGTTTGGGGACATAGTCAAGTATGATGACGAGGAACTGCAAGTATATTATTCCTGCTTACACGGAAACCATACGCGGATATTGTTGGTAATGATTGCGACTTGTGTCTGTAACGCTCAAACTGCACAGTGCGATCGATTCGGCATCTAAGCACACGGCTGACAAGTCCGTGTCTGCCACTGCTCCGGGCCAACAGCGCCAGGAGGCGACGTGCCTGCAAAAGGCCATGGCAAACACCAGACCCGACCAGGCAATTCAGAGCATGCCTTTTTGGCCTTGGCTTGGGGAAAAGGTCGGCGCTGGAGATTTATGACCCCGTGAGATTGGTGCGCAAGGGCTTCGACTGCATGACATGTCCCTCCCGTTCCCAGCAGGCCATAATATGGTCACTGCTAAGACCCGACCACTGTCTGCAGATGTCTGAGAACAGAAGCACGCAAATATATATGCCGACGATGCGCTTCACCTGTCAGTTCCTGCAGGGAGATCATCCACCCTTACAGCTATCCACCACCATGACTGATGTTCCCCTAAACCCTTTACCCTAAAGCCTTTGGGGCTTCTTTTTTTGACTGCACACTCTGCGAAGCTGTGCCCATCGGACTCCGGCTGGGCTGGAGCCACGGGGCAGATGGGAACCCAAACGCCTCCCAATGCCCCTCGAGCCGCCGTATCTGTGATCCTTCCCGTGACGGCTGCAACATCTCATCTGGCAACCCCATAATTAAGGGCCACCTGTCAGAGGCAAAACCGGTAGAATCTGGCCCGTAAGTCTCTGCCTGCAGCGTTGTCAAGTCAAGATCGCAGATGCCGCGAAGCTGCTGGACGGCCGAGGTGTAGGGTGGCCTGGGCCGGCAAGTTGCGAAGTTCGCAGCCTAATTGAGTGGACATGAGACCTAGCTACCAGGATTCTTGTGATCTTGACAGGGTGCTACAAGGGTTCCTGTAAAGGATCAGCCCGAGCGCCTATTCTCAAGTTCAAGTACGCGACAACTAATAGTTTAATAGTCATAACGATGATACCAGCAGCATTAGAAATATTCTTGTTAAAAAATATATTCTAGCAGGAAGAACGATGCCGATCTGCATAATGATGATGATGCGAATGATACTAATACTGCCAATTGCGCAAGGCCTTTTGTTTCTAGCAGACCGACGGCTCTCAAGCACGTGAGAGAGCAAATGTGCCAGTGGCCGCTCACGTGCTTTGCTCGTGAACGTGCTGTTTGTGGTCACGCATGTCTGCGGCAGTGATTCCTTCAGTTCTTGTTCTAGATGCAAGACATGCTTTGGACCGTCTGCTGGAACCTACATTATCGACAGAGTTGCGCAAGGTCCTTGCAGACACTGAGCCTGCATTAAAAAAGGCCTCTTGCACACTCTTGCGAACAAACACCCCATGGACTGCGCAGTCACATCCTGCTGGCTTCCAATGTAGTTGGGATTCTACAGCCAGCAGGGGGGCTGGATTGCAGAAACTTAAGCTGTGTTGCGAAACATGGCCATCAAAAATGCAAGTTGCCGCCGCTTGTATGTCTCCGGATCCATGATTGTAACGCGCTCAGTGTGCCTGGGATGCAGGCACGTGCGCTTCAAGGCGCTCTCAGTTCGCTTGCGCACGTCCCAATGCACCAGGAAATCGATGATCCCCATCCTGGCCAACTGAAAGCACCTCAGGCTGTGGGATTTATGGGTGGTCTCGGGCCGAGGCCCGGGTTTAGGGTTCTGACCGCCCCTCTCACGCAAAGTGCGATGGAAACCTTGGAAAACATCTTGACATAAACCTGCCATGGCACCCGCTGGATTGTGGCCGTTGCAGGCTCATGCCGCTTGGCAGATCTACATTCTCCAGCGCTCTGCCTCAATGGTGGGGCAAACGCTCTCGTGAAGGCAGTAACTGCTCGGCCATTCCATTGCCTGTGTTCGGACGATAGTGACTAAGGTCTAAAAATATTAAGCGCAACGAGAGGCCAAGCTCGTCCGGCAGCTGCCAAACGGCAAGTAGCACAGAATAGTCCACGACGCCCAACCTTAGGGAACTATCTGCTGAAAGCCGGCACAGAACATCATGATCAGCAACAATCAGCCACGCTTCTGCCTCAAGTTGTTAGGGTCGAGAGATTCGTTAATCTTCTGTGGCCGAGTGTCGATGCCAGGAATGTCAGATCAGCTTCGAAGTCGCTTGGCCAACTGCGCCCCGAACAATTCAAGCCACTGGGAAAGCGACTCCGGAAGCCGCCATCTTGAAACCTCTTCAGTGGCTCGGGCTTTTCGGCTTGAGGGAGTTATTTTTTTGTTTTGTGGTGGGGGGGCCTTAAAGTACAGCTAAGTTCAACCGTTCAACCACATTCTCCCAATGACTCGCCCCAGGTAGGCAAGTCCAAGCGGAGTCATCCTCCGACATTCCAGCATGTGATACTGCCGGTATAGATATATGTCCATATATATATATGTATATACATCTGTGTGTTGGTTCGTATGTAGGAGAGTACCAGGCACTTTCAAAGTCGCTTTCTCTCCTGAGTCCTGGATGTATGTATGATTCAGAGTTGCTTTGCCTTCAGCGTTTTGGGGCGTCTGGGTTGGACTTCTTCCTCTCACTCGGGCTGAAGGCATTGTTGCAGCGGCTCCCTACAGCACGGCAGCATTTGCAGGACTCATGCATAGCACTCTGCTCCGGCGATCATGACAAGATCAGGCCAATCCGGGAAACATTTGCTATTAAATGTTGGCCAGACACAAGTGGCAAGACTGGTTGTGCATTGCTCTAGCCTCAAGGTATCGCCTGGACTAGAAGTAGGTGTCCAGTGTCCAGTAGTCTAGGACTAGGATATGTGGTTTCTTCAATATCTCACAGGGAGGCTAATGGGCCTGACTGTGTCAACTGCCGAACATATCCCCGTCTAAACTGCAACTGACCGTACTCTACGGCAAGAACAAGAACACGGGTAGTAACCACCCAAGGCTTCTTCTAGCCTTCTAGCCAGTCCAGAAACATCCTATGCTTGCGCGACCCGTGCCTGGTGGCAATCTGCATTGCATGTGATGATTCCAAAACACCCGTCCGCACAGCCACTGAAGAACAGAAGCTGAAGAGTCGTACTTAACTTCTCTTATATACAGAAAAGGAAATTAACTACAGAAAAGCAAATCAACGCAGATGTGCTCGCACTGAGACACTCCGACTTAATGTCGAAAATGGAAGGTTCGCCGACTTCGTCCACTGCAGGAAGATGATGCTCCTTTCAGCCGGGTGAAGAAGCAACAAAGAGGCATCATCGGGAAGCACTCTGCGTCCAACGCAGCACTTAAGGCTTAGGGGACCTAGCAGGCTCTAAGCAAGGTGTTACCAACTCCGTGTATGTGCTGATAACCCGAATTCAAACCTACTTACTAAGGCCCCTGCTCCTTTTAGCATGTCCTCAGTTCCTTAGAGCATAGCTCCAGCTACTTTGCTTTAGGGTTGGCATGCATACAGCTTATTGACTTTTGTCAAATTTGTGCATGTCTTTCACAGCCTGACACAATATGCTAAAGTATTTTGAGCATTCTTTAGCTGATTAGTACAGCCTAGAGTCTGCCAGAGACGCAGGCATTCCGGTCAGGCAGTTCATGAGCACCGCATGCAGAAAGTAGCCCAAGGAATTCTTGAAGCTGAAGCAGCCATAGACTCGACATAGCATGGAGTTTGGGTGATGCTCCAGGTGCTTACGGTATGGTCCCAACATGGCGCGAAGCTGTTTCACTTCAGATCTTGAAATCGTCTTAAGGACGAAGGTGGTGCTGTCTGACGACAGGAGCAAGGAGCACCCGCTCTTGGCCGCACTGCGCAGCTCACTGACGTTGGTGCGCAAGAGCTCCGCCAGAAGCTTCTGTCCATCCACACCACAAAGGCGACGCAAATACACGAAGGAACGAGGTGCAATCACGGTGAGGGCAGTGTCAGAGCCTGCAGAAATGGTCCAATCCCACTGCATTTCGGGGTTGTCGTCAAGGCAGGCAGAGGAGCGCAAGATGGCATTCTGAGCTTCGGCCGCTTGCTTCGGCTCGAGCCCCTTCCCTAAGAGCTGAAGCTGCTGTCCCAGCTGGAGCTCCTCGTCGCGTAGGTATTGTATTAGCTGCTCTAAGAGTCCGGAAAAGTCCAATAGCCGATACCCATCGGCCCCTTGAATCGAGGTACTCATCGAGTGATGAAGCCGTGAGCTGGAATGATGAAGACGAGACAGCCCGGCCCTTGGGGATTCCAGCTCAGTGCTTTGTAGACCCAGGCCCTGGCTTTCCTGTAGTAGAGGCCCGGCATCTTCTCGTCCCCGGTCTCGAACCACAGCGACCAAACGGTCCAGGCTTAAGAAAAGCCCCAATCCGGCAAAGCCGATCGATGTCAGGTAACTGAAGGAGTCGTCTTTGCACTCCCGGCTGGTGTCGACGAGAATCAAGATGCTGCAGAAGACCAGGCTGGCAAAATGAAGCCACTGCTTCCTCAGGTACCTCCTCACTTGCAACAACAAATGCTGGCCTTCTTGCGAGCGCCGCGCAGCCGTGCCCAACAGCTGTCCAGCATTCACATAGCGGAAGACCATGATGGCAAAGGCGATGCCGATGACCTGAAGCCAGCAAGGGGAGGCTCCGAGGGCCAATCAGATATTAGTATTAATATTAGTATTTCTATTAACATTAGTATTAGTACTAGTATTCATATTAATATTATTATCAGCATCAGCTTTCTGACATTCCGAAGTCTGACTCATACTGCAGTGCAACAGCCTGCACTTGCCTACGGCAAGCAGCACATTTCCACACATATCGACACCAGACAGCGTAGGATCTTGGGCATGCTGGCTCTAACTGAGGGTCCTGCTGCGAATCCGGCCATATGGAACCTCGGCTGCATAGCTTTGGTCAAACGCGCTGTGAGTGCTTCCGTACCTGTCATTGTCTCGAAACCACCATCAACCATTGGCTCGAAACCCTGTGCCCCACGCCCTGAACTCCCAATTACACAATTACACCAGCGAAGACCCCAAA